GGCCAGCACTTCCGCACACCAGCCCGTCCTTCCCTCACCCGGAGTTCCTCCGTCGGAGACAGATTTGAGCCTTGCCTCCTGGCTCCTTGCGGGCTGACCTCACATCTAAGCTTTTGCTCAAAGGCCGATGTCATAGCACTGGCTTCCACGTGCATTAGGCAGCGAGCACCACCTGGTGGCCCTCCGCACATGCCAGGACCCTGGGGTCGCTTTTCACCGCAGTGCACTACCAAGTGCTATGGTTTCTCCTACCTAGCCCTGGGAACCATGGCATCTTGACCGCCACTTCCATCCTAGCCCAAAAGTCCTTGTCCCCCCTGGACTTCAGGGACCATCTTCCATCCGGCCCCTGCTCACGTTGCAGTGACCCTAATAGGGGGCAGATCCCATCCCGAGCCAGTGACCCCCTGCTTCCTGCACCGACAGCCCCCAGCGCTGGCCCTGCCCACTTTCCCACTTCATCTGGGGCCCCTTCCCGGGCTCCAGCCCACACGCAGAGGCACACACACGCACCCCTTGTGCTCCAGGATTACAGCCTACTTTTGGTTTCTCAAAGCTCCTCTGCTTCCTCCAGCCCCAAGCCTCCACGTGCCATGTCACCTCCGCTTGGAGCACCATCCCCCATCTCTTGCCAAGTCAGCTCCTTCCTCATCATGGTTCAGATTTCGACTCAGTTATCAGTTTGATTTCTGAGAAATCTTCCCTAACTTCCCAGACTAAACAGTTCTTCCTCTTTAACATATCTTTTTTATAAAGTTAAAACACTCCGGATGTGTATGCAGAAAGCTCACAACCAGAGCCTCCAGCTCGGATCCTCGGTCAGCACAGTCAGCATGCCTGCTGCCCACTGCCCACAGCACAAGTCAGGAGGCTGAGCGCTGCTGTCCGGAGCTCCCATCCCCCACCACTGCAGCCCGCCCCGCCCCCCACACAGGCCTGTTGTGTCCATTCTGTCATTCTGCAGAGGCAGAGGCCTGGCGACCTTGTTCCATGCTGCGTCTGCTGCTTCTGTGCATCAGCGGGCAGAGCTAATTCCCACTGCCGTACAGGGCTCTGCCGTGGGAACGGTCTGAAACGCACTCGTCCAGTCCAACGCCGACGGACAGCTGGGCTTCCTGTTTGGGGCTACTTCGGACAGTGCTGCCACAGCCATTCTCCTACATGTTCTCGTAGTTAAGGGTTCTGTGACCTTGAGTAAGTTACTTAAGTTCTCCGTGCCTCAGTTTTCTCCTCTATAAAATGGGGTTAGTGTTGGTACTGATACCACGGGCTTGCTGCCACGATTAACCAGGAGCTAACACGAGCACAGTCCACCTAAACACTTTCTTAGCATACTGCCTTCAAGAGCTAGAGGCGGCTGAGGACAAAGACAGGAACTGTGTCTTAAGAATTCTCAGAGCATTCTCTTTAGGAGGTAAAGGGAAACGAACAGACTCTGGTTATACTTTGAACCAGAGCACTGGTTTTGAAGAGTAAAGTAAGGGATAAAAAAAAATGCACGAAGACCCTCTAGGAGGATCTGTGAAGCCACCCAGGGGCCACGGCTCCCTCACAGAAACATCTACTGCTACGTGGTCCCAAATGTCTAACTGAAGCTGAGAACACTACTACCCCAGGGCCGATCCACAGCAAAGCAAGAGTTGGTTGGGACGCAGGGCCACAGATGACAAGAATTTAAGGGAGGAGAACAAGCAAAAACCAATTACGCCGTCTGCAAAGGGCAGATAAGACTAATCGAGAGGCAGAGCAACTTAGCCCGGGGCATTTGATCAGGGATGAAGAGGAAAGTGGAAGTCCAGCCAAGCAGTCTTTTCTTGGAAGTCTGGAAGAAGACATTTTCACCTCCCGAAAGCCAAAGCATAAAGAAGGGTCCTATTTCCCACAGAACCAGCAAATGTTTATGCCATGCCAGCACACTTGCATAACTCCACAGCACATTCTAGAGCAAGCAAGAAAGGACACGTTTGGAAGTATCTGCCAAAAGACTGGGAGAAACTTATCGACAAAAGAAGAATTGGCAGAGTACCAAGAAAATGGACTTGGATGACAAAATAAAAAGTAAATAAGAATCCCCCAAAATAGCAGCAGAACAATGTTTAAAAATCATCACCAAGTGGTTCCATTTTAATAAACAGAAAATATTTGCTTCCCTTATGATCAACACCAAGTTTTGAATTATTACATGTGCCAGTGAAGGTGGAAATACAGACACGAAAAAGGTGGATATCACACAAGAAGGGAAAAAACCCACAGGGAAACCTTGGGGTAAATCGATGTAAGTCACTTCAAGGATGAATAGCTGCTAAATTCTTGTAAAAGGAACGCGTACAGGGTGATGTAGAGCTGATCTCTGCAGAACAAGGGCTTAAGGTTGGTCTTGCGAGAACAGCATTTCAGAACGAGATGATCCCGTTTCTAGGGAAAGGATGAAAGTGTCGCCATGCTGTGACGCGTAGGACGTGGTCCCAGGTAAGTGCCTCAGCCTTAGCTGAAACAAGGCATTGCTCAATCCTGCTCACTGCCGACTGGACCTGCCAGCTAAGAGTACATGCAGTGACCCACCCAAACTGGGCCAAGTGACACCAACGACCAGGAATAAGTAACAACTTAGGTGGTGCCGCTCAGCTATTTTCTGCAGGGCCCTTGAGAAAAAGTTCACACACAAACACGATGGAGAGCTGCTGTGAGGAACTGAATGCCTGTCCCCTCAAATTCCCACGTGGACACCTAACCACCAGTGTGATGGCCTTAGGAGGTGCGGTTTTGGGAGGTGATTCGGCAGTAAGGCTGGGAACCTCAAGATGGGATTTACTGCCCTTATGAAAGAGGCCCAGAGAGCTCCCCGCCCCCCATCTCCCCGTGAGGACACGCGGGCCAGGGACACTTCTGGATCATGGAGTAGGCTCTCACCAGACACCCAACCTGCCCGCGGTTGTTTAGGCCGCCCAGTCTGTGGTATCGACATAGCAGACCAAACTAAGGCAGTGGCTAGACTATTCTCAAAAACTCAGAAAGGGTTTTGATCTCTGTGAGTTCATACCCCAGGACATGAGGCTTCTGCTACCTGTCCTTGTTCAAAACTCGCCAAACACAATGCATTTTCTCAAAGTAGCGGCCACAACGATCACGGGAAAACCATCCGCAGCATGCACGGTCCACACTGGCACAGGGCGGGCTCGCTGGACGCGGCAGCGGGTAACGCTGGACAGGCCTGGAACCGTCCGCTAACCTCCCTGGCGTTTAAGTGGCAAACCACCGCTGAGCCTGCGGTGTCAATCCCAGAAAGACCCAGACACACCCTGTCGGTAAAGTCCAGGTCACCAAGGGCCACCACCCTGAGGCTGCGGGCTGCGACGGCCCCGGACCTCAGACAAGGGCCCCGGCCTCCAGCCCCCACACTGGACCCTAGAACCTAACTCGCGGACGGCGACCCGGCCGTCACACAAGGGCCCCTGGCCTCCAGCCCCGACCCTGTACTCCAGACCCTAACTCGGCCCTCAAGCGCCCCACCCGAACCTCAGGCTCCAAATCGCGGACCGCAACCCCTGCCCGGCAGCGGCCCTGACCTCTGCCTTGGCGTTCACTTTCACAAACACTCGTCCTCTGTCCGTGTCGTAACTCTGGCCCTGGCTGATGCACCCGCCCCCCGAGTGACCCGTGGCCTTGACGGAGCTGCAGCCCAGCTCCCGCCTGAGCAGCTCCTCCATGTTCCCTGCGCAGCAACCGCGGGCCCGCGCCGGGCTGCACGGACGCGCGCGATGCGTCCGACACGCACAGGGATTGGGTGAGGCGTGGGGTGGGCGGGATCGGGCCGCAGAGTCGCGCGAGGATTGGGTGAGGGCGGGACGACGTCGGGGTGGGGCGGGGCCGACTTGCTGTTCGGTACTCAGCTCGCCGCCTGACCCTCACCTTACCGTTAACCTGCCCTTGACCTAATGTGACCCTTGCGCTGTCGGACCCTTGCCCTGACCTTTGCCTTACCTTGACCCTTGTCTTGACATGACCCTTGTCTTATCCCGATTTTGCCCCGACCGTGGGCGGGGTCTGTGCAGAGCATCTAGTGGGCGGGCTTGGACAGAGTGGGCGGGGCATTGGTAAGATTGGGCGGAGCAGTGGGCGGGCTCTGGGTGGAGCATGGGGTGGGCGGTAATTGAGGTAGGCGGGGAGTGGGCGAGACGAAAGTCTAGCTTGAAACGTACTTTAAATGCATTTCGTTGGGCTGTGGTACTTTCTGGAGCATCCATGAGGTTACAGTTTAACTTAAAATAGGTTTTCTTTCTATGGTGGAAGAACAACTGGCACCTTGGCTGAGAATTCTTGGTGAGTCATCAGCAAATATACACCCAGTGTGAAACTGCTCAGCTGTTAGTTTCTATTTACTTCTTGACAGCAGGGGAAAGAAATAAACGTTAATTAGTGTGCAAATGCCTAGGGCTTTGGAGAAAATACAATCAGTCCCTTTTTAGTTCCTCGGGCTATTTTTGTTTGAGCATCAGAGAAAGAAACTTAAGAAATGCTTTTCCAGAGTCAAATGGGATACAAATTTCACATTTTGCTAAGAGATTCCTTTCATATCACCCAAAGATGGTAGACATTCCTCCCCTCCTCCACTATTCGTAGTAGCTGCTTATGGTGCTCTAGGCTATAAGACACTGCACAATGTCACACAGAAATCAACAGCAGTGCAAACTGGGAACAAACCCTCAAACAGATAAACATAATTATTGTACAACCAAGCAAGTCCACTCCTACACATATACCTAAGAGGAGTAAAAACATATGTCCACACAGACTCTTGTACACAGATGTTCATAGCAATTCTATTCCTAACAGCCAAAAGGTGACAGCAACGCAAAGGTCCATCCACAGATGGAGAAAAAAATGGGGTCTGTCCACATAATGGAATATTCTTCAGCTTTAAAAAGGAAGGTAATTCTGAAACATGTCACCACGTACATGAACATTTAAGACACACTGATTGAAATAAATCTGTCACAAAGGACAAATACTGTATGATTTCTTACGCAGTACCTAGAGTAGTCAAATTCACAGAAAGTAGAATGGAGAGAGCCAGAGGCTGGTGGAAGGGGAGTGGGGAGTTAAGTATTTAATGGGGATAGCATTTCAGCTTGGGGAAGATGACAAAGTTCTAGAGATGATGGTTACACAACAATGTGAATGCACTTTATGCCACTACATTTTACACTTAAAATGGGTAAAATGGTAAATTGTATGTTTTGCATATTTTTAAGTGAAAACAATTTAAAAATGAAAACAAAACAAAACTGGGGGCTGCCATGCTATGCTAACCAGCTCCAGTGATGGAAGCCACCAGCAGGACCTCTGGCCATCACGTTTCCTCTGAGCTCTCTTTTGCTTGAGTATCA